GAAAGATTACCAAGGGCCAAAAGCACCAAAATAATAGTGGTAATAGACATTGAATTTTTAAAAATCTGCATGTTCACCTAGTGACACTCAGAAAGTAAGAAGGAGCTCTTCTTTGCAAAAGATTGCCAGGTAATAAAGGGACGTACATAATTAGAAATCACCTTTTTTCATACCCCAATGTAAAAATATGGTTCTGGCAAAGATTATCAATGGATAATGAAAAGTTGTTGGAAGAAGAACCAGTTCCAAAGCATCAGCTCACAGATTACTTTCTACTTACATAGGTGAAAATTACTTTACAATCTGGAATCTGGGCTCCACCACCTTAACCAAGTGATTAAACTTAGTATCACCAAGGTGACCGCAGGTACTCTCTGACGTGGTGTGGCGCCTTCCACTGTGCAGATCAGTGCCTAACAGGCCAAGGACTGGTAGCAGTCTGCAGCCTGGGTGCTGGGGACCACAGCCCTAACCTTTGCCCTCCACTACACTTTTCTTTAATTTTTCTATTTTTTTGATACTTGATCATTTTTCTTTCTCCACTAAGAACATAACATCATGGAAGTAATAGATTTTGGAACTACATAAACCTGATTTGAGAACCTGCCCTGCCCACTAGTTGTACAACTTAGAATATCACTTATCCCACCAAAACCTGGTTCTACCTCCTTGAAAAGTTACTACTTCCTACCGTAAAAGGATATATCATTCAATGAGCCAACATGTTTGTTCATAAGCATTCATTCATCTGTTACCAAGTGCCAGGTACAGTTATGGGTACTGAGACAATAAAACCACTTATTTAAAGGCTGGCTGTGTTCTAAATACTTTATATAAATTGACTTGTGTTACTACCCTCATTTCACAGAGGAGGGAACTGAGGCCTGGAGGCATTCACTATCTTGTTCACAAAGAATCAGGCTATGCCTGGAATGCAAACCTCTGTGCCAGACACAAGGAGGAAAGCAAAGCCAATGCCTTCATGAGACTTTAATGTGGGGAGGTAAGTGACATCTGGAAAAGTAGTGGGACATGGTCTGTCACAAATATTAGTTCCTCTTTCCTTCCCCCAATTCCATGCCTAAAAAGAAGAATCACATAAAATTAAGAGGAAGTTAAGGGATCTGAGCACTGTCCCATTTTAACTCCTCTATCTCATTCTTAAAAGAAAAAGGGAACCGGCTCGGGCCTGTGGCTCAAGCAGCTAAGGCGCCAGCCACATACACCTAAGGTGGCGGGTTCGAATCCAGCC